GCTAACTAGAATCACAAAATCTTTTCTAAACCTTCCAGTATTTGTCCATGAGCACCTTTCTCATTTAGTGAAGATGAATGCTTCTGACAAAGATAACAGTAACTTGTCGAGTATCAGGGCTAAAAGAAAAGAATTCCTGTGAAGAAAGATTTTAAGTATTTCTGGTTTTTTTTTATTACCATCTTGTAGCTATCATGACTAGATCCGTTTTGGTAATCTTTTGTTAGCTCCAAGGATAGTTGATGTTAACACAGAACTATGTTGTTGTGCTGAATAACGTGAGTCAGATATAGGTTTATTTTTTTCTTAATGGAATAAAATTTATAGATTATTTTTTTAAGATGAGAACATACTCAGGTTTGCAAAAACTTAATATTGTTCCAGATAAATTGGAATGTGCTACAAACATTTATAGCTAAGTAATTCAATACTAGGGAAGAGTGCCGTGATGTTGAATGTAGAGGGTGGAGGGGGATGTAGATTTAGACCAGTTTTTTTATCAAATCTCTCGATAACTGCTGCTTGGGAAATAACTTTCATCCTGTAACTTTCCAGAAGCTGAATTTAATTAATTTGAAATGGGTATCTTTGACTATTCTGTTTTTGAAAAAAGAATAAAAAAATCTGTCATTGTGAATGTTAACCTGCTCTCGGTGTACCTGAAAATGTTTTTGTGTGTTTTCATGTGCAGCTGTTGCCCAAAAAGTCTTGACGACGCATTCAGTGGAATTGAAAAGCAGAGATGTTAGAGATAATAGAGATTACTGGCTTGGGAGGATGACTTTTTCTTAAGCAGAGATGAATTGTATGTCTAAATGCACAGTAAGCAAATATTAGATGATGGATTTAGGAAGACAGAAATTTTGAATGATGCACAGTATTGGCTTGTTCATACAGGATTAATGAAGCAATACAGTGCAGTTCTTTTTAAGTTTATTTGTGTACACAATTTTTTTAAACCAATTTTAATATCTCAATTGAGTATTTCTTTTAAGTAAAGACATGGTAAATTACAAAATGTCATTCTGTGTATGTTTCACAATGTTAGTGGCAGCTTAGAATGAGTATTATCAGAACTGACTTTATGTTTGTGAAACATGAAAGTTTCACAACTTTCTGAAAATAAAAAATTCTGTGTAGGGGCATGACAGTTTCTTAAAGAACATGGCTGTATCCTTCTGCCTAAATTTTTGGAATTTACTTGATTAAGGTGAAAGGGAAAAGGCAGCTGTAATTCTCTGAACTGAGAAATCTATAACAGGTTGAGTTTCAGGGAAAGAAGAATGATCTGCAGTGCTCTGTCATACTGAATGATTAAAAAGTACTTAAGCTTTGTGTTTTGTGGGAGATTTTTTTTTCTCCTACAAGAAATGGACGTGGACTATTAAATTTATCACAATATTTGTCACTAACATTAAGAATTAATTAAAATTAGTCTTTCTATTTAGAATAGTTTTACTTTTTTGACATTGTGATACGAACTTGCCATAGTTGGTATGTTAAAATATATGTAAAATTCAAAATTGGTAAATATTCTTTGGACATCAATAAGCATAGCTGTTTGAGAATAGCATTCTCTTGTTATAAGAAAATGCCTCTGCAGCTCACTATATGGTTTATTATAGTTATAAGATTTTTGGACCGCAGAACTTTTTTCTGTGTAATTTCTTTTTGAAACATTGTATCTTTAGTGTACTTTATAGCCCAATTACTTTGAGGAGAAGGGAAGAAAAGGAGGGTCTGTCAGCTTCAGAATGATACCTGGATTGAATTTTGTATTCAGGTAACATCTAATTACAGGACTTTCTTGTGAACAGACAAGACTGTATATGAGTACATGCTTGTTTTTCCTTAAAACAATACACTCTTAAGGCTTTGTAGCTATATTTGGAAAATGGTTTATGTGAATGTGAAGGGGTCTAAACCATCATCCAGTTTTAGGGGGTTCATAGATGCTTTCCCTCTTCTTTGGCAAGGGTTAAGTTTTTAGTGATAGCTTGGGCAACCATTAATTCTTCTTGCTTTTGCCTTTCTTGGGGAAAATCTGAAGTCAAACTAGAGATGTTTGATGCTGTCTGTTCACAGCGTTCCTTACAATACACACGTGCACTGAAACTGAAGACAATATTGCATATTGTGTACAGAAATACTATTTGGAATATATAAATTTTAATTAAGACTGCTATCTTTTACTAAAACAAGGTATGCTATTTTGTATGCCAACTTTCCAGTTTTCCACTGGCTAAAATAAATTTTAATCAAGATTTCTTTAAAGTACTGAATTAACTGTCTTTTCAGGAGCAGTTAAGCCCTCTCACAGGATTCATTTTGCACAGCTCTTCATTATCAGATTGGTCTTTTGAGGAAATTATTATGAATATTTGTGAATAAACACAGTATCTATTATGTTGCATTTAAACTTGCACTTTGACAAAAGGTCAAGTCTGATGTCTCAAACCAGGGTGCTGAAAGGAAGTTTATAATGATGAAATGTTTTAGACTCTGGCAATATCAGTGACCAGAAGGTGGCACACATCTCAAAACAGATCAACTTTAGGTTCAAAACAGTAAAATCCAAATAAAGTAGATTAAAAAAAACCCCAACAAACCCCAAATAACAACAACCAAACAAACAAAAAAAACCACTACAAACCAAAACAGTCCAGTATTCTGAATATAAGGGAAATAACTTGATAGCTGTTGAGAAAGTTAGTAGGGATTGATTATGGTCAGAATAGCTGAACAGAATGTTTTCTGATCGGTGTTTAATAACTGAGGAGGTGGTATAAATAAGTTCTGAAAATATCCCCTCACATAATAAAAACCAACTGCCTAATTGTGACAGCCAGAGGACTTAATTGTCTGTCTCCCTAGAGATCTCTCAAACAAATAAGATTCTCACAGCTAATAAACTTCTAATGTGTTTCAGTCCTGTCTCCCATGGGTTTCCATGGTATTAGGCTTTATTCCATACTTGTTATCATTATGTTGATAAATGATGTTTGGATCATTCAGTTACAGCTGGTTATGTGTAACTCATAATGGTTAGCTGGTGGGACTTTTGGTTTTGTTATTTAAGCGGAGTAGAAGAAACACAGGAAGGGGCTTCTGAAAGAACAGAAAAAATCTTATGGAAAAGTCCTTTGCACTTTCTACCTCATTCACAAAACGCCCATATTTTCAATGCAGGCTTGTATGCAAGCAGTTCACTGGGAACATCCGCAAAACAAAGTGCACTAACACTAGCATATACTCAGATGAGGATATTGGGGAAACATTAGTAGATCATAAGGCAATTTAAAAATAACAAAAAAACCCCAAACTAAAAACCCCAATAACTAGTGCCTTTACAAGTATATGAGCAATTGTAGTTGTGATCGGAAGGGCAGTGCATACAGCTCTGCACCTAGGCAGAGCTTTGCTAGCTTATGCTTAGAGATTTTCCTTCACATAAATAAATAAAATTGTTACTTAATTTCTAGTTTTTAACAAGGAAGCAACAAAAGGAAAATAACCCGTTCCACAGGAGTGTTAACAAATTTATTAAGATGTGTCTACCTTTCCCCCTCCCGTCAGCAGATCTTGCTGAGACTCCATACAGGGAACTGAATCAACTTACCTGTCACAGAAACTTGTGGTCCAACAGGTGGGAAGAGGAAAGCAGGCAAGAACGGAGAGAAGGTAGAACTACTTATTTTGCCTCAAGAATTATAGAAGGTAATTTTTTCCCATGCTACTATTCTAATTTTTGTCTCTGTGGTGTTGTCTACCCATGTCAGAAGGTCCACAAAATGCACTTAAGTGTTCAATGACAGCATCTGAAGTTCTGGTACTTCATATCTCTGCTTTGTTTTGTTTGTGGTTTTTTCCCCATAGTAGTAAAGGAAAATCTTTTCCCATACCACAGTAGTGGTTTTGCCTTGGTATATTGCATATGTATGTGCACCAGTGCTGCATAACCTTGTTCTCATTCATGAGATGTTTTCCTTCCAGATCAAAAAGAAACGTGTCCAAAATGACACATTTTCCTTACAACATATGCATCACCAAAACAGTGTGAAAACACAGAAGTAGAAAGAGCAATGCATTAAAAAAAAATCCCCATGTGATTATATTTGCAGTTGCTGGTATTCAGTAAGGTGACCAGCATCTATGAATGTTTTATGTATATATACGTATACTTCTGAGAGAACTCTGTGAGGTCCTTAACTGGAGGATTTGTTTGGTGACAAGACTTGCCTTTTATTCTATTAGGAAACTGTTGATTCATAAAAACAGAAGAGACACAACAACCCACAAAAGAAATTCTAGGGTATTCTGCTGAAATTTTGGAAAAAATGATGTCCTTTTTGAATTGAAAGACAGCTGAGACTGGCATTGGTTATACATGGTACAGTTACTTCTCTTAATCCTTTCTATACAATTAATTGATAAATTAACTGTTATGAGTGCAAAATAGTACTATAATTAGATACAACTTTCACCAATCTAAAAAGTACTAAAAAAAGTACAGTACTAAAAAGTTTGGTTATTTTGAATGCTTTGATGAGAAAAGAAATCCATACCACAATTACTAGAAAAATAAGAAGGTAATTCACAAAGTTATACAGATCGTATGAAAAGCTCTAGTAGCAGTAAGTCTTTACACTCAACTGAGGAGGATTAATTGTCATTTGCAAGGCGAGGAAAGGCTATACACAGTGCCCTCACTTTCCCCAAATACTGCTCGTTGTGGAGCCTGCTTAATAATTAACATACCAATATGCCTCACGCTTTAAAATTGATTCATCATTTGCATAAGACAGACATACTATTTTTCCTCTCCAAGAGACAGATAACTAACTATGTATTAGTAACTGTGCCATTAAATACTTTGTGGACTGGAGATGAAGTTCTAGTAATCTGCAGAGGCAAAGTTTGAAAAGCAGTAGAAAAACTGAAATGGACACAAACTTCCAGTTAAGTTTGTAATTTTTGCATTAAAAAAGAAGTTGCAATTGTTTAGAAACAGATTCCAAGCTGAAGACATGAGTTTATTGAATGTCTGAGAGATCTGCATTTAAATACAGTAAAAAAACCAAACAACCAAAAGCCACCAACACATCCTGAACAGTTTACTATACGAGTCTCTAGTAGTATTGTAACAGTTTACAAAAAAGAAAATATTATATCTAAATATGAAGGTTATATTCCACTTAAAATATACACAATTAGAGAATCACTTCATAAAGAGTTGTAACTCAAAGAACAATAAATTACTAGGATACGCTTTATTAAAAGCTTTATTTCCCTGTAAACATCCCTCCTATTTAAAAGATCTGCTCAAGCAAGAAAATAATTGGTTTCTAGTAAACAAAATATCTGATCTACGGCAGTTAGCTATGCCTTTTAACATAGAATACAAATCTGGGCTATGGAAATTCCCTCAAGAATTACATACGTAGCTGTACAATGTTTTTTAGAATCCTTTTTTTCTTAAATTATGCCTGTTTTTCCTAGTAAACTTAAGTAAGCTACCATCTAACTACTATTGGTTTTAATAGATTTGTCAACAAGTGTAGCAGTGCTAAGGAGTACTGAAAGCAACTAATTTATACAAATTTCATGCATCTTGTGGCTTGCAGTAGGATTTTTTTGGTAAAAATTAGTTATATAACAGGAAAAGAAACTATCATGTTCTGAGAGTGAGCTGTGTACTAGCAGTTACGTAGTTTAAAATTCCTGTGGAGGACTGAAATGGATAATACCATGCTTTTATTAACAGCAACTAACATATAATCTTTGTATTTATTATTTTACCCATTAAAACACTTCAAAGAGATTGCAATTAGCATTAGGAAATAAAATAAAGTACCATAACTGAGAAATAGATCATGTTAATCATATTCAATAACAATACTTAAGCTTTAAAATCTGAAATGATCTTAAACACATAAATTTGTTTAATAATTCTACTATGGATTTATGGAAAACAAAGCCTGCTTTTCCTAATTAAGCCTATTAAATATGGCCTACTTACAAGTCAATAAAAGGGTGTCAAACATCACTTTGAGCAAAATTTGAAGCATTCAGAGTTTTCAAAAATGGCCACACTATTGGTATTTTTATTTAATCCAAGCCTTACTGAGAAACAATACAACGAATCATAACAAAATTAAAGTTATTTGCAATTTACAATTAAATAAAGCAGAGCCAAGCCTGAATTAGAACCCTTTAAAAATGGATTATTTAATAATTCTCAATTAAAATTTTAAGAGATCTTTCATCTTTCTTGCCTGTCAGGCAAATCACTATTTGTGCAAATTTAAATACAGTACATTGACTTTAAAGTAACAGTGGACAGATAGTGAAGGAAGAAGTGTTCAACAGATCTGCTGCACAGTAAGACTTTTTCAGAGTGCAGAGTACATCTACAATAAAGTGCTTTTCTTAATAAGTTATATTGATAATACTATAGATGTTTACCTAGTTTTAAAGCTTAAATTGCTTAGTAAATAGTTTGGTCTCCCTTTATCTCCCTTTACCTCCCCAATCCCACAAGGCACATTCAAAACACAAGCAAAGCACTAACTACCTGTGAAGGATTAATCTACAATAAAAAGTTCTAAGTGGTAGTAAACTCCTGGCTAGGTTTGTAAACAGTACCATCCCATTGAATCTCAAGGTTCATGCATTATTGAAGTGAGTTTCTGTGGCAGCAGCTTTTGAACTCCAGATTTAACAATCAAGCCAGCTTTCTTGATAAGACACTACTGTGCCTTAGTATTTTGTTGTGGAATCCCACTTCTTATGTCACTTGCATGAAATCACATTTGATGCATTTAAGTCTCTAGACTTCATTTACAGTTAACACAACTGATTAGTGGCTGGTTTAGATCTATTTAGTTGGAGTTTTTTTAAATGGATGTGAAGTTCACCTCTACTGTTCAGCATTACAACAATGTCATGCTCAGTACTCTTAAGAAAAGGTTTTGGTTACGTTAACACATAGTTGGGCTGTTTGGTGGAGGCCTTAATTTTGGCTTGATACTAATTTTGACTTGATACTAATTTTGACTTGATAGAAGTAATTAGCTCCTGTAAGACTAATTACTCAAACTGAGTAATTAGCTTCTTCAGGTTCATTTAAGACCAACTTTTAGAAGCTTCTTTAGGTAAGAAGCTACAAAGTACATCACTGCAAGTGATGTCCTGTATAAAATACTGAAGTGAGACTCACTTCATCACCCTTCCAAAAATGTTTCACACAACTTAAAAAGCAAGTAGTTCCGCTAACATCAGGTAGAGATCACACAAGGTATACATAGCTAAACATTGTTTTCATACCACAGAAATGAAGCTCTATGAGCAAGAGGCATTCCATTATTTTTCAAAACAAAGATCCCATTGAGTTCATCTTGGCTTTCACAACTCTTGCAACAGAGCAAACAAAACCGCAAGTATCAACGACAGAGCTCCAAGTTTTCCTCTTGTTTGTCATTCTAGTCTAGCGTTTTATCACCACCTGCTCATATGCTCCAGATCCTACTCTGAAAGAATATTTGAAAAAAGTTAATTGGAATTGAACTAAAATGGAAACTAAACAGCAAGTATCACAGATCAGCAAGTTTATTGTTAAAAAAAAACAACCAACCAACCAACTTCCCCACCCCAAAAACAACAAAAAGCCCCCGCACCAAACAGCTAAATGTGAAGCTTAGAAAACATACATAATTACCATGCCATTGAGTAACCTACACTTTAATGCATTAAAGCATTTTCTGTTATACCACAGTCAAAATGAAGAACAATAAATAATGTTACTGAAAAATAAGTTACTGTTGGACTTCTCTGTAGTTCCTTAAACATTATCTTTTGGGTACCCCTCCCATCTCATATATATCATATGCAGCTAATACTTTTTATATACGTTTGTATGTAAATAGAGAAATGTCTCAAAAAAACAGTGACAGTCTTCTTCCGTTAAGATATAAGAAAAACATCTTCCAGTCTTTTGTTCATGCAGAATTGTAAATGCACAGTTACAAAACTGTCTCACCCCCACATGACAGAGCATAGTGGGTTGTTTTACATGGTAAATTGCAGCACTATGTCAAAAATTAATAGGGCAAAGCTCTGCCTTAGTATAATATTCTGCCTGGCCTATTCTGGCAATTGAATTAGGATGGATCTCTATATACTACTGTAGTGTGCTCTAAAGCCATACACATTATCCTAGATAGAAGTTAGTGTGCCCAGTTTGCAAATAAGCCAATAAATTATCTTTTAACCATCAGTATTGGGTGCTGTGTAAAATATTTGTTTTATAACTTTCAGCACATTATCTGTACTGATTATATTCAGTCTTTATACCTAGTTCCAGAAGTAGTTGCTGAAATACTAATGCTATGCTAATTTTGTGAGATAAAGAAAAATCTTAGGAGCTAACCTGGACTACAGAATCATGGTATTAGAACATATTCTTACATGTTTTTAATGTTTTTTCATCTGAGAAAACTCTTAATACATTCAGGTCAAGTCACATATCAGAGCATTTGAAGAGAGTTCAGAGAAGAAAGTATCTTCCTGGTTCTAAAACAACTACAAGAAGATAATTTGAAGCAGATGATCAAAGGAGAGAGTTTACAGCTATGAATAGTTGAAAGATACACAAGCCATTGAAACAGGAACGGTGTAGTGCATTGAATCAGAAGGAGCTGTGAGCAAAACTGAAGTGAAGAAAATTAGATGTGTTATCAAGGAAGACTTAAAATTTGACACTCTAAAGGTCGATGTGACTTTCTTCCAGATCCAGACAGTAACCTAGTAAGTCTGTAGAGCTAAAATTCAAACTGGTGCCTGTTTGCTGTGTCCATACTGAAACATTGCTCATATCTGAAAACTTTGGAATGGAGACTCTTCAGAACTTCTCAAAGTTATAATTCTTATAGCTGACACATCAGTTTCATGTTGGAACTAACCTATGTGTTTTATTTTAAAACCTGGCAATCTAATTCTTTGCTGCCTTTAAATGACACAGGATAGAAGATGCAAAGATCAAGAATGTACATACAGAAAAACTGCATTTTTGTTTAGTATTACCTATGGATTAGTTGTTTAGGCTACATACCTGTTAGGTAGATGATGGCTTCCAAAAGAAGTGCTTCCACCAGGGCCCACAAATAATCTTAAACCTTCTTCTAAAAAGCAAGGCAATTAACACATTAGCTTCCTTTAACATGGCTCTAGCTAAAATACAGTCACTTTAAATCTACCAGTTTTGTAACTGATAATTTCAGATGCAAAAGTTTTAAGTAATGAAGAACTAAACTTCACATGGTATAGGTTGGAGGAATAACCTTCCTCATAAATCTGCCCCTACTGTTTTCTTTTCAGGCTTAAAGTAGTTCTCTAGGAAAGTTACCCAAGTCTTGCAATTTTTTTTTAAACTTCTGGGAGACAGGATGAAACAGAAAATGTAGTGATCCATATGCACAGTCCTTACAATTACAAGCAACAGGGACTATGAAGAGAGTGGGTTTTCCTACAACCTGGAATGTGCATCAATTTTCCCTAAGCTCCCTTATTTATCTCCATACCTTCTGCACTTGAGTCTAAACTGAAGTCTTGACTCTGGAGTATTTTTTCAACTATATCATCAGCATCAACTCTGGTAGCATCGACCCTCTTCAGCTGTGACTCCACAGAGTCTTGTTTTACAGGATGTCTGCAAAAATGAATGTATTTAGAGCTCTTGGAAGTCATGTGGTAAATTATGTTTTACTTCTGCTAGATAAGGCTTTCAAAGTTTAGTGTACCTGCAGAGTTTTTCTGATGGTGCATCTTTAACAGATGTATCAATATCAGCTTCAGTTACTTTTGGCTCAGTCTGTTCACATGGCTCTAGGATACTTCCAATTCCTGTGGAGGTACTACCCCCTGAGGTGGTTCTCCTGTGGCAGAGTTCAGACAGACTGGATGATCTAGAGTGACACGTGCTGTATCCTGTTGGGAAAGTGCAGGAGAGCTAAGTTAGGAATGTTGTTGATAGCCAAGATCATTACTTGTATTTTACCATCCTGAAGGCAGAATTTGTGTTTTGTCTTCCTATAAAGAGACTTCAAAAGCCTTATGAATGTATGGGAATACACCAAGTAGGTAATTTATTTTGCTTTTTGTGTTCTAGCACATTATTTTTTTTCTAAATAACTCTTGCTTCCTAACAAATATAATGACTTGGTGTTATTACTTCCCCTTCAGCTTTTAGAACTAAGGCTCCATTTGTACATTACTTGTTTTTACACATGGAAGAGGTAAAAAAATCTCATTCAGTTATGTTGATTGGAGGGAGCTAAAGGGAAAAGCTGTCTCACATCAGAAGAGATAATTCATTGTGCTTTTAAGAGGGAAAAAATGTTACCCTCCTCACAATTGAAACTCCTAGGAAAGAGCTTTCAACTTGAAACTGTTTTTTTTTTTTTAAACAAATAAAGTATACTTATCTTCTGTAGTCTAAAACTGTGAATCTAAATAAACCCCAACAATTAGTAACAAAATTGTCAACAGCTACCTGACAGTTTTGACTGCTGACTTGCATAGCTTGATGTTCTGGAATGTCCACATGCACCAAGTTCATCAGGGACTGAGGCACTCTTTGATGAGACATCTGCAACATACACAAGTCAGACAATGTTGCTAAGGCCAGCTTTGTTATTACTTTGCCTGTAATCTTGATTAGACTCAAGTGTCAGATTTCCCAGAGGGATTAGGGACTTGACACTGGTTTTCTACAAGCCCTTTTGAAGATTCAAGTGCTGCAAAAATACCACGTATGTTAACAAATATGCATTCCTTAAAAAAAATAAATATCACAATATGTTTCTGTCTGAATAAAACAGAGTACCATTGCGTTAGAAGGACTTGTACAAAATGTAGCTTTAGGCTTGTCTACACTGTAGACATCAAAGGCATCACCATGCTTTCCATAGTACAATAGTAGAATGGTGTGCTAGATATTTTCTGGCTGAAAAAATAACTGTGGTTAAGATAACTTGTGTTTAGGGTGGAAACAAGTAAGCTGTGTGAATGCCTGAAGCTTGTAAAAAAAAAAAAAAACCAAACAACAAAACCCCCCACACCCCCCAAAAAAACCCAAACTCCCCAAATTTCAACCTGAAATAAAGTATTTTAACAGTATTTTTTTCTAATAGTCTGTATTTCAGAGTAACTAGTTTAAAATTATACAATACTTAGGACATTTACCACACAAAATTTACTCAGTTACGCTTATACCTATTCTTAAGTTGAAAATCAAGGGCCAAATTAAATGGTCAGTTAAAATACAAATCCAAAGCAAATCAAGGAATGTGACTGACGGAAACAGAAAGATTTTATATGTTAAAAAGAAAGCAGGGTATCAATCCACTTCCTGTTCTTTCTTTCCATTAAATAAACTGTTACAAAACTAAAAAGGAGAGATTCCATTGATGTTATCTAGAAGACCCTGTCTCAACAAATAACCAGAAAGGTCCCTTTGTGGGCCGACTGTCAGCATCCCTTTAAGATTTGAAGTATTTTGTACATCTCCTTGAGGCTATGAAGCCAGTTATGAAAGAATTGAGACATTAAGAGCATTATTTTATACCTGCAATGCCCAGATGTACTACTTTTAAGTTTTCTCCGCCTTTCCTGTCCTCATGCAAAGATTCTGATTCTCCAGCGACTGCTATAGACATTGCTGTGGAAGGAGGCCTGTAAGGAAAAGGTGGTTAAGATTTGCTGTACTTTTGCTCCAATCCCTCCAAATTTATCAGCCCAGATTTTTCTTTTTAAGTAAATTGGCATAATTCATACTGTGCTTCAAGTTAATATGCTTGTAACTTTTTTTCCCTGAAAACATGCTGCCTAACCCCTTGTTAAAAAAGGGGAAAAAAAAAATAAATAAAAAGGACATACTACAGAATCTATCTGCTCAGCCCTCAGTCCTTCAGGCTTCTGGAGATCCTTGGAAAGGCTCTTTCTTTTTAATCATTGTAGAGTGATGTGTTTATTTTGAAGTTTATAATTTAAAAAAAAAAATTGAATCATAGGATAATTTACACATTAAGAATACATATAATTCAGTACTTTGGGGAATACATGACAAGATGGTATGTTTAAGAAAACCCAAACCTGTCCAACGACATTTGGCCTACTTGACTTGTGTACTGTCAGGTACTCCTGGCTTTGCTTCATCTCTGCTACAGTACATGGGGAGATTCTGGGCTGATAACCTTCCCACTCCTAACAAAGGGGCCTATGTTAACATCTCCATGTATTCCCCTCTAAATTCTACCTCCTGCAAAATAAAAAAAGCATCATGTATGACAATTTAAATTTGGTTCTAATTTAAAAAAGCTTCTAATAAAGCTTAAATGCTTGTTTCAGATTGTGCCAAGATGCAAAAGGATATTTTATTAAAATGACTAAACTTCTAAGTTTGTATTTTGCTAGTGCAAAAGGAACTAATTAGAAAATGACAAAGAGAAAGTAATCTTCTCTTGCAAGCAAATACAAGTAAAATACATTTCAAGATGTTACCTACAGTTTTTTTTAATGCTTTTTTATTTTTTACTTTGGGAAGAGATTTGTGGGTCCACAAACAACTGGATATTTGTTGACATGTTTAGATTTGACATATTCAATAAATTAGTCACTGTCTTTATGTACAGTAACATACTCCCCCTCTTATGTTTGAAAGTAAGGAGAGAAAGAGAAAAAGCACTTCTAGAAATACAATACTTGTGGGACTTAACTGCCTAACATACTTTTGAAAGCAAAAACTGAATGCTTTCAGGGATGTCACCCCAGATCAAACATCGAGGCTTCTAGGCTTCTTCATAAAGTATATAGCTGATTCCAGATTGTGAAATTGTTTTAAGGTTTATTTTTCTTTCTACCAAGGACATCTGGATTAGATAAATTTTTTGTTCTGTTTGTGTTGAACGTTTACGTTCCAGGAAATGGTTATATCATCAGTTTGGAAGAAAATGCCAAGTCTGAATAATTTCAGTTACAGATTTTTTCCTAGGGAGCCAGAAAACTATTTAGGTACTAATTTCAAATACTTTAGTACCACCCAGTAAAGAACAGAAATACATTGTTTTATTCACATACGAGAGTAATGATTAGTTAGTTGCCTTTGAGAAACTGTTTATCAGTACCAGTGATGTATTTGTTAATAGGTCTGACGCAAAAGTAAATCAAGATGGGCTAAATAGCTAGGGATACAGAAAAGCTTTGCCCGATAAACAGGTTTGGATAATACTGTCTTACTATTTGTTCAGTAAGCACAAAATGGGATTTTACAGCGTGCTTTTTTTCTGACTGAAGGTGAGAAGAAGAGAGGAGAAAGGGCCTTTTGTGGTGCAAGGGGACATTGTAGAGTTCCTGTGGTGAATCATCTGAGCTAGACTGGTGCAGGCAACATTCTCAGATCTCCTTAGAAACAAAGGTAAGGATACAGCCACAACAGTCATGCACAAAGTCTCTAGTTGGTACAGAAGACAGTTCCTGATTATCCTAATTACACCAGCTCAAAACAGCTAAAACCTCCAAATCATGAGTTACTTGGTACTTGTACATCAGACTGAGTTAGGAGATCAGTGGTGCTTTTCTTGGAGCTGCAGCCTCATTTCACTTTAAACACAATCTTTTTTACTTAAGGAAGACTTCAGCATATGTTTACTGCTACAGGTTAAGCCTGTATGAGATTATTATCTTTCTTCATCGGATTATTCAGCCTACATTAAACTGATAAAAATGCGGTTAAATTCAGTTTACAACAGTATTTTGATTAAAAAACCTAATCCATTCCAAAGTCAGTGTTTCAATGTAGTAGTTTGTAAGTAAGCACTGTATCTTTACAATAGAAGATATCTTTGATACAACATAAAGTCTGAAAGTATAAATAAAAGTTGAGAACCGACACAAAAAATTGAGATTGACATAACAAGGGTGAAGCTAGCAATTTTTTTCGGATTGTTTTCCTTAAACTCGTTTTTTCTTTTCATGTGGGAGTTCTTCATTTCCTACTGATCAGGATAATTAAGTTAACGGTCAGCAAGATAGTTGTGTTCTCTGGAAATAGGAAGCTTGCCAGTTATACTGTTTCAGTTTAGTCATCCACTAAGCTTGGGTGCCTCAAAACAAAATAGCTTATTAGCCTAGAAAGACGGCAACAATTTCATCTTACTCATGACTATGTTTTTCCCTAGCACGTGTCATTTTTCTGTTCTCTGGTTAGTTATGGGAAGCTAACGTGCTCTAGCAAAACTATTACATTTCCTTAGTTACAGATTAAGGACAATGAAGCCAAAGGATCCTGAATATATAGCAGTGTATTTTCCTAGCTACACCACTACCCCACCCCCTCCACAAGATGTTACCTCTTGCATCTTTTACTAAGTTGCATGATGTCTTTGCTAACTAAATATCTCTAAGTGCTTTCTCTTGTACTAAGTTACATCACACTTCTGTTTTTTAAAAAATTAAATCTTTTAAAATCATCTGAGACTTGTGAATAAAAGGAGTAACAGCACATCTTCCAAACACAAGTATTAGATCACCCCATAACGAGTATATTTATATAAGCTTGCTGCAGAAATAGTTTCCCATAAGTGTTTCTTTGAGATTTTTTTTTTAATTACAGATGTACAGCCTAATATTCTTTGCTTGAAAATACACTACTTAATGGCAAGGAGAACTATGATACATCTAATGGTATTCTTACCATGTTAGCCATTATGCAGCTACCACTATTTGTGCCTTTTTTTTTTTCTTTTAATATTGTTGCCAGATTGGAGAGATTTATAAACGCAAATTAGAATTGTAATCCTGAACATGGAATGCATGACCAAAACACTATCCCCCACAGATTTTTTTTATAAACTTACGTTTTAAAGCATGGGTCTCCAGACATTAGCTGCATGTTGATCAAAACCTACACATTAAGAAAACAAAACCCACTCTAAGAAAGAAAAAGAGTTGATCTGTGATACATGGATACAGTCATGTCACTAAATTATACTTGCCACGAATCTTACATTTAAGTAAAATTAAATGGCATCAACATGTACGCAAACAAACACGCATTCAAAAAACTACGTATTTTTTCTTAGTACATATGCAAGCAACGCAAAATAGCATTTAAAGTAACATATTTGCAGGAACAAGATTCTGCAAAAGATACACAGCTCAAGAAGAATCTTAGAATCATTAATAGTTAAGATGACTTCAAGGAAAAAATAGACAGGAAATCTAAAAGATTAATGAGCAAACAGTATTGTTTAAAACAGTGGGTGCTGAAGTATGTTCTTTTCTGAGAGTGTTTAGCAAAATGCTAGCGTACAAGAACTGGTTGTGCTAACATCAGAGATAAAGTAAAACCACAAAAAGTAAATAACAATATAGGACAACAATGCATTGAGAAGGCTTAACTGGGCCAAAACCACCAATAAAAAAATCTTCTGAACAAAGTCTATGACTGTCTTAAAGAAATCAGACAGTACATGCTTAAACAGTATACTCAATAACATGAGAAATGTATCCTAGTGTCTTGGTGGGAAAGGAAATCTTTAAAAAATTTAGTTGTATCATTCTATGTGTAATTATATTCAGGTTTATGCAGCGTATTAATTTTTTTAAGCTCCCTGGACTAATGGAAGAGAACAGCAGTGTGGGTTTCTTGCAACAATGCTCACCAATTGTTACATTGATTACTATCAAATAGAAAAGTTCCAGGAGTCATGGAGGTGTTGAAGCTAGTTTATACATAAGTAAGCTAATTAAGAGATTCAGTCTTAGAAAAGCTGCACAGGAAGTTGCCCAGTCTTAAAGATATAATCGCTATATTTATATGAATGTATTAACTTTTTCATCATGCTTCACTATTCCATTTTGCAGTTCCTGTTAGAATCTGAGTACCTTTTGAAAGCCTTCATTTCACAGCTATCCAGATCCATTTCAAAGTGTAGGACAAACTATTTTAGACTGCATGGATTTTAATGATTCTCTCTAAACAATGTTGATGTTCTTACTTTAAATACTTTTCCTTCTAGAATGAGGTTCAGCAATATGCTTTAAATTTAATTAAGTGCTTAATAATACCACTTGTTCTCTGCTTTATTTGTTTAAGTATGATAAAGGAAACAAATTACTTTGAGAATGGAGTTATCTTGTCTTGTATTTTTGGTATCATAACCTTCCAGTAAACAGCGACGAGTGGTATTTCCCGATCCAGCAAATTCTGCTAGATTTAGATCTGCAAATCCCAGCTGTTAAGAGAAAATTACAACGTTAGTAGTAAGCATATACTAAACGAAGGTACTTGCTACATGCACGGTATTGAGTGCCACTCAACAGCAGTTTCTCTCAAATATGAATAAGAGGATCCCCATTAAAGGGAGCGGCCCAAGATAAAAAGCAGAAAACAAACCTTGAGTGCCAAATTCTGCATAGTTCTATTTTCAGTTAAAAATTAAAGTCTCAAGAGAAAAAATGAACAGGGAGAGTTTTCTTTATTTTTAAAAGTAAACACATAGAGAACGGTTTACTTTTATCAACCTTTTCAACATACTAAATTGAAAGAAAAAAACATTCTGGTGCCATATGTAATATTGGTTGGACTAGATGATCTTTAAGGTCCCTTCTGACCTAGACGATTCTATGATTATATACCTAGAAAACACACTGATCCAGAGTTCCTACACCACTGTGTCACTGTAATGCACATAATGAAATCATGGGTATTAGAGTACTATTCTAGAATTACTTTAAAGGGTATAAAAGGACAAGAAAAGGCAAAATTAGATACATCTCAATTTACCTTTGCATAGGCCTTTCCTCCTTTTAACTCCTAGAAAAAAAGAAAAGACGACATGCTATTAAGCTGTGAAAGATACTGACTGGGTTGCTTTGTTTGTTTTGTATTTTTAGAAAAGCAAATAATAATCTTCCTTTTAAAATAGCTCAACACACATTTGCTACACTGTACTGTTGTCATTTAGAACTTTGTATTAATAACGTCCGCAGTGCAGGCCAGCAGGAGACTGTCATCTTGTGAGGCAGGGGGGAAGGACGAGTGCCTGATGCTGACCAACATTTGACTCTTGCAATGTCTAGCCCCAAAGGTAGGAAATGCTGCATGCAAAATTCTGGTGCTTAGCACAGTTCAAGGCTTTTAAGTTTACTGTGGCTTGCTGGAGGTGTCCACTAAGGACTAATGTTACGAAGACTGATGAGCAATTCCTTTGCCATCCTGCTGGAATAAGTGTTCTTTTCAATAAGATTGCAAAACCCCATGGATTAGTCAAACTAAGGTAATTAATAAGATTACTATGAAATTTTGACTAGATGAATAGCTGACATGCTTTCAGCTAAAATATGCTTTATGACGTTTATCAGGCGTTTAAAAATTAAACCAAGTGAAGTAAGAGCAGGGGAAGAGGAAAGGAGAGAAAAAGAACTACTTACTTTCCGTACAGACACCCTGCAAATGCAAGTATCCAGAATCCCTGTTGTAGCGCTGGCACTGATTTTACACATAAATAAGAACTTTTTCTTCCAGCGAACACAGTTAGCCTGTACTACCTCCCTGCAAAGAGAGAACATAAACTTAGTTATCAGTTGCATATACCTTCAGGACCATAAAATGCAATAGGACAGCTCAAGAACAAACAGTGGTTCTGCTGCTTGTAGAGTGGTTACTTCATTCAAAATCTCTTCCAACACCTGAATAATCATCCTTCATTCTTCTCTTTGTGTAGCAAGACTAATAACTAACAGTTTCAAAGCTTGAACACAATATTAGACTTACAGGAAAACTCAACAGCCATGTTTTTTTGCAAATGAATGAGACTGTGATTTGTCCAGTTTGCCTCGGGAGAGTGAAGTCTTCTGAACCTAGCTCCTGGGCACTGCCTTCCAAGCTGCTGAGATTTCGAATGTGCTCAAGATATTGTCTTTGACAAGTAATTTTTCAACACAGAAAAAGGGAGTACTGCAGAACTAGATAAGTCTGATGCCAGGAAAAGTACAAAGATGATGATGTACAATAACCAGATGCAAAGTAGTGCACTTGGGGCAAACAAGAATTCCAGCTACATACTGTGAGCTTGCCATTTGAGAGCAAAATAAGACAACTACTATCTGAATGGATTTGTTCATTGCAGGAGGATTACGACCTGACAATATGATGTGGCTGAAAAAAGGCAAAATGTAGGATGCTTTCAGCTATATTAATGTCATTATATAAGGCTCAAACAGAACATATTATTCTGTTTGGGTAGCTCTGGTTGAGCAAGAGCAGACTCCAAAATTAACAGGTACTAGAAACTCCTGTATCTTATAAGAAAAAATTACATAGAATAAAAATATGCTGAGTAATTCAAACACTTTAGAGAACAAATAACTAAGTCAAATGAACAGTGGTTAGGACCAAAATAAGGCATAGTCAAACACCCATTTAAAGCTGAAAATTACAAGGTCTCAAACCACAGAGCAAGTTTCTAGAACAGCCTTCAAATAAGAGAAGTAGGAGCAAAAAAATCTTACTGTATTTAAAGACAAGGTTGGCCAGTTTGTCAGTAACAGGGTACATAAGGTCTGTGATTCTGAGGGACCTGCCTCAATGATGAAAAGCTCTTTTCTAGTCCCACGTTTCTAAACTCAGAACTCGGGACTGTGGAGAAACTGCTAATTTCTTCCACCGCTTTAATCATTCAAGTACAGTCTTCACATATTAAAGCAATATTTGTCCTTTTCTTTCTCTTCCATTTTTCTAAGACATACATTCCTATGTTTTATATTAATTTCTTACAGCAGCTTATTATTGAGGATCCAGTCTGGAATCTTTAAGAGAGGTAGAATTCCATGTAAACCGGAGTCAGAGTTTATCATCTGTGGAGAAACGATGAATTGCAAGGCTCACACAAAAGCTCCTATTTGCTGTGCTAGTGAGATCGCCAGCTACAGCGCTCACTGGCACTGCGACTTCCTGAAGGTAGGAATAAACTAGCCTGCCTGAAATGAGTCAGTTTAATGACCACAACAGAGTAACGGATTCTGATGATACAACACTGAGTCATATTCAAGCATGTGACCTAAAAGGAACAGGCTCTGTATACCATGAGCTACCTTTTATCCGTTGTGTTTTAAATTGTAAACTTTCCTGTGCTTTGGAAAGAAAAATAAATCCCAAACTGCCAGTATATGAGAGATTTAAATCCAAAATAGAACCTGAATTCAGAAAAAGATGAATTAGTAATAGTTACATACTCTGCTAGAAACAAGCTCAAGCCAGAAGTCATTAAGTAAAATACAATCTTAAAGGGATATTTGATAACTCCTAACATGTGCTACACTTAGAAGGCCCAGGAATGACTTGTAGCACTTACGTGGTAGTTGCTCAACTCTCAGGTAAAGAAAATAGTCAACTACATGTCCACTGTCAAGCAGAACACAGCTATCCAAGTGCATGGGTAACTGGGGTCTGCATATTTGCAGGTTTCATACACTGCACTTTAAGATAATACAGCTTCTGAAAATGCTTTTTTTTCTGCAGATTACAGTGGTCCAGTAACTTAGAAATGAAATTTTCATAATTTTTTTTCTAAAGTCTTTTTTTTTCCTAAGTAACATTTTGAGCTTATCTGAGAAATGAAAAAATAAAAGACCCTCTTCTCTCTTAAAAACACCACCACACCAAAAGCAGCTTTACCTTTTTCATGAGCTGTCCAGCTACAATTTTTTTTTGCTTCAAATAGAGAAGGGATATTTATATCACTATCTTAAGTCATTAAATTCACTGTAGAATCACGGAATAGTTTGGATTGGAAAGGACCTTTAAAGGTCATCTAGTCCAACTCCCCTGCAATGAGCAGGGACATCTTCAACTAGATCAGGTGGCTCAGGGCCCTGTCCAACCTGATTCTGAATGTTTCCAGGGATGGGGCATCTACCACCTCTCTGGACAACCTATTAAGCCTATTACCTGGCTTAAGAAGTTATCCTCCATGCATTCCAGGAGTCTCTGGGATTGTCTACAGCTCATAGTACTCTGATCCTTCTGTCAACAGTTCTATCAGGATAGACTGAGAATGCTAGAAGCTATTGTGAAACAATACTAATGTCCTCTTGTGAGCACCAGAAGCAACAGGCCAGCATTGATACTGAAAGACAAACTTGCTCATGCCCTCAGTCCTGCTGGCAGTTACTCTAACTTTCAGGAGCTTGTTAGACTAAAAAGACTAAGTGGGAAGGTGAACTTGGATGCAGATTACCTAAGTGATATGGTTGGTCAAAATTTTCTTTCACTAAAAACATCCCATTTCGGTACTCTGGTAGTATTCCTCACCAAAAAATTCAACTGCATAGATACAAAAGATCCCAGAATCAGATTTTATATCTAGTTTCAGCACAATGGAAGGATCTCAGTTTTAACACACCACTATAATTAAAAAAACCTCTACATTAAGGGGATAATTTAAAATTATGTCACCTAAACAAAGTGATTGTTGTAGCTGGCCACCTGTTTTACTGGACTTTAAAGAGTTCCTGAACTTAAATCTTACCAGAAATACCTAATCAATAGCAAAATGGATGCAATTAACACAAACCTTTTTTTAAGTTTCAAAAAGCAAGAACTCTTAACGATCCTTTGACTTAAGCTCTATCTTTAATCTCAGATCAAGGCATATCAGCTACGGTCAGGCATACACAGGGACCTTGCATTTGCCCATTACTATGCATCCAATAACATCTGCCAAACAATCCAGTCTCAAGTGTCGTTTTGGAAACTAGAAGCAATATAGACATTATGCTCTTCATTACAAGGCTCTAAAACAATGCTACAAGACTGAAAGTGTTCACTTACAATCCATAAAGGTCAGAAGATCCCTTCTCATAGCATCTGCTCATCATACAAGTAGGACAGTTGTCATCGCCCTTCCTTTATCACCAGGATACCACTGGGACTACCAATAACAGAATCACTTCTCCTATTCATCATTTCACTAAGTTCTTGCAGTGTACATCTGTAACATTTCCAGTTTCTAATAATATCTTTTCCTACAAATAATGCCTTTGAATGTCTGGATGTGTCTGTAAACTCGTAACGGTCAAAATAATGTACTGAAATCTTTGTACAACTCAGTATTATGGTTCAGCTTATGTTTCTGCTTTTCAGAACAGCTTTCCACCTCTACAGCAAACTACAGTCAAAGCAGCTTTACATTGTACAGTTATATAGTATTCCAAATATCACTAACATTATAGTAAAAGGTAATTTAGTGAACATTAAATGCAGTATTTTTTCTTGTAAATACAAGATAAATGTAAGTGACATCTGCACGAGAAATTTAAGTGCCTTCAAATCCTTTAAGAATTTGGATTTTATTTCAACGTACCAATACTACTGTATCACATATTACTGTTCAAGTAAGAAAGACAGCACAGAAAGACTTAAGTCTTTTTCTGGAAGACTCAATCTACTTATATCACAGGTCAGGATTTATTCAGGCAAATAATTTAATAAACATTAAATCAGATAATCAGGTTTTCAAGTTCTCTTACAAACAAGAAAGTAGAAGTTGTAGTAAAAAGGCCTCAGTTACAGATACTGATGCTCTAAATCTTGTAAAAATAAAACCAAGTAAACCGAGGAATGCCCCCTTCTCCTAATAAGGCAAAAAAGTACCATTAGTTTCTTTCATATTGTTTTAGAAAAAAACAAACCAAGGTGTTTGAAACATTTGTATACAATCTGAAAAAAAGAAATCCACAAAACACCAAACCAACTGCCCTCCTCCTTTTCCCTGCCAAACAGTTCTTCTAATTCCATTATAAAAAGAAAAATTTGACGTATTTTAATGAAGGTAATTTTTGTGTGAAGAAAAGCAAGTTATTCCCCTTGTGCTGAAAAGTCAACTAATCAGAACATTTAACTTTAAAAAGTAATATCTAAGTTTCTGAGATTCTTAGTTCAAGTGCAAGGCCTTTAGAAAATAAACAGTTATATTGATTGGTTACTATGGAAATGAACCCAGATAACTTCTTGGCAACTGTTCCTATGCTACAGGGCATGCTGGAGAAAGCTTTCCGTTATGAGTCAGTTTCCTATGAGCCTCACAGTCACTTTACCACATGCAAAGCAAAACCAGTTGTTTTATGAATCAAAACATATCTTAGTTACTAAGATGCATTCAAATACATACTAAGTTGTAGTGCTTTGGTGCAACTTAACGAATGCTGTCAGTAAGACCCAGCCAAGAATAAAATGAATATATAAATATTTTAAAATACATTGATTCCAAAATATAGTTTAAGTTTCCATTAATTTAACAAATTGTTTTTTCTTTAGAGTAACAATTTCACATTGACTAAATTTCAAATGCAAGATTTTAGCTGTAGACAAGTCTTTTTCTGTATGTATTTTATGTATTGTACACAATTGCAGTTTAGAATGATGAACAAAAGTCTTGTTTTTTCTCTTCTGATCCATAAAAGAGAAAATCAACAAGAAAACCAACGAGAAAGAAACAACAAATCATAATCCAGTCAACTCTCATCCTAATTTGTTAACAAGTGATGGGCTCT